TGTCTGCCGCGGGCTGCTGCCCTGCGCTGGCAGCGGGCACGGGGGAGGAAGGCTTCGGCGAGGAGCGGTGCCCGCCCGCCTGGAAGAGCGAAGCAGAGGCGGGGAGCCCTCCCCGGGACAGACGGGAGGAGAGGCCGCGGCGCGGAGCCCTGCCCGCGGCCACGCCGGGAGCGCCCCGCCGCCGGTCCCGAGGATCTCTATGCAAAGTTGGGGGGTTGTGCCGGGGCGTCCAGCCTGGAGAATTGCACATCTGAACTGGGACTTTTAACTTAAACACTGATGCCAATACAGTGTGGGGTGCCAGAAAGTGTCTGCTGATGATTCGTGAAATAATTTTCTATTTTGTTTACCTGCTGTATCGGATGGGAGTTTGCAGGAGAGTGGTAGCGTGTTGGTTTTTCCTGTTTTGGGTTTGTTTGTTTGTTTGTTTTTTTTAAATCAGCTGTGAAAATGTTACAAATCTGCACAATTTTTTAGGTGTGCGTGTGTGTGTGATTTCGTTTTTATCTTAATTTTTCTTTGGCGGGTGGGAGCGGTGGTGTTTTTGTTCCGAGGGTTTTTCTTTTTGGGTTGGCAATAACTGATTTTGATGACTCGCTCTCTAAAGTGCAAAGACTTCCTACATGTGATGCAGGGCAAACAGCAACCCTGTGTCTATAGAGTGCCTTCAAAACTCAGCTGTTCCAGCCGGTGCCAACCTGTGAAAGCTCCACAGAATCCCATTATCTACTACTCCAAAAACTACTTAACAGTTTCCTTGCAGTAATCATACCGAACAAGCCAGGACAAAAGGGCCTCTTGTTAGTGGAATTTATTTCTTATTTCCATCTGAGCCTTTTAACTGTAATTTCTGTGTCTTGCAAGTTCAGGCTTCATTTACTTCAAATTTACAAGAATTTAGCCTTGTGGGATTTTGAGGGGGTGGGCTTTTTTTTTTTTTTTTGCCTTTGGTTTTGTCGTGGGATGTACCTCCAGTCAATACGAAGGAAATCTTATTGTTGTGTTGTACCAAGAAAATTCTAACAACTGTAATTTTAATTCCAGCCATGCATTTAAGAGATGTCTATCCATTTTAAGAATTTTAATACAAATGATGTTTTTTAGAAAACAACTTTGTGCGCTTTTATGTATTACGTGAAACACTAACTTTCACATAGGTTGTTACTCTGGATTTATGTCTTAATAGAACTGAAAGGCATGGGGGGGCTTGATTTAGGTAAGGAGAATGCTTAAGAAAAAAAAAAAGGAAAGACAAACCACAAGATTGCTATTTTACCTAATATTTAGTCATTTTTAATACAGTTTTTCCATTTATGTTTAGGTCCTGACCCTATGTGATGCCAGGATGTGAGCAGAACGCTGTATTCAGTAGGCAGCTTTAGGAAGGTAGTGTGGCTTTAACGCAAAAGGACTTGTAAGATTAGGCCCTTATTCCTTACTGGGAACAGCATGGTTTTTTGGGGTAAAATTCTAAAGGTCGATTATTTATAAAACTTAAGCTTTTAATCTCATTGCATTTTACCTCTTTAAAATTATGCATCAGACCATTATTTCTTTCCTGGGTTGCAGAGGGGTTGGGGTGGGAGGAGACCTGTACCTTCTGTCGTTTGGAAGATCTAGGAAGTTTGTTTACCTCCATTATCTTCTTCCCTTAGCCCCTTCTTTAAAGATTAGCACACAAAACCTGCAACTTTTTTCTTTTTTTTTTTTTTTATTTTTCTCCCCCCATCCCCCCTCACTCCCTGTCCCAAGAAGACTTGACATTATCTTACCACATGAAAGCAAAAGTTGAGCAATGATGTGTAAAGGGGTTTTTTAATCAGACTAACTGCCATGATTCCTACTGATAATTTTTTCTATTCTAAGTAGGAAAGCTTTCTGCTTGAGCACTAGAACAGTTTTTAGTATTAATTCTATGTATTGAAATCCTAGTAATTAAAATGATAAGATTATGTTTTAGTTTAAAGTAGGATACCTATTTTAGCAACATCCAGTATCTACTGAAAACTTGGAAAAGGTTATATACTTAAGTATTGAACATCTCTCTTCTGAGCTCACATGTATCCTTCGAAACAGCAAGGACCTGTTCTGATACAATCAGTCAGGTTGTATCGGTCAGACTGATACAATCACAGTTAAAAACAAAGAGGGTTGGAAAAGGCAATCCTAGATGATAGTCCCTCAACTTATGCTTGGGGCCTTCATATAACGGACAAATTGATCCAGCCCCCCCCCCCCCCCTTTTTAAATAAAAAACAAAAACACCCTTGAAAACTGAAAACCTCTTTGCAGCTTATCTTTCAGAAATTTCTAAAAATGAATTAGAAGCCAGCTCCTCAAGGCCTTCCATGTTAGAGGGGCAGGGGAATAATGCTTATTAATAGTAGGGACTTCTTTTAACAAAAGTACTGCATTGAAAACTAAGAAGGCTTGACTGCAGCCATGTCTTGCACTGAAGTTTTTAAAAAAATGCCATAAATTTACATCTCAGCTATTGCTGTGGTTCAATTTTGCCTTAAATTCAATGGGATTATACAGTTTTCAGCACCCAACAGATCTTGCTCCTGATAAGTGTATTGAAAGCAACTTGTTCCGCTTAATAAAAGGAGATATTTATTCTGTTCTCCCCAACAGATAGCAGATTCTTCATGTGTCCTAGTGCCTCCTCTTTCCTTACTGCCTGTGTTGTGATTGAGGAATGATGCAAAAATGGGTGTTTGTAGCACACAGCGGCACGTAAAGTCCAGTTTTTCTCAGCCTAGCAGAGGAGCTGAAGGCAGCCTAGTAAGTTCTGGATTATGCTGGGCTTTTTTGTAGATACACTCTAGTTCTTGCCAAAAAGGCGTGTTTGTTAAACAGTGAAGGATTTAAGAAACCATGGCATGGGTCTAATCAGAGTTTTGAATGTATTTAGATGTTCAATGTTCCCTATGACTTGGTGAGGACAGGACAAAAAGTAGAGTTCAGTAGCCTGATCTTCCAAATACTCTGAAGTGTTGTGGTGCTTGTTAAATATAGGCCTTGTCTATAAAGTAGAAAAAAAGTCATACTGCTTTAACTTGACTGAATAACGAAAGCTATATTAGCTTCTACACTCAAGGAAAATGTTGTATCAATATAAAGGTACTCTTTTATTCCTTTTCCCTGTGGGAATATGTTATACCCGTGTCAATACAAAGGTGGTATATAGCTCTTTTCACAGTGAGAATTGCAAATATTTAATTGATTTGGAAGAAAAAATTACATTCCCAGCCAAAATACTTCATGACAGTGCAGAAATTGTGTAAACAAGGCCTTAGTTTAAGGCTGATCTTATGGCCGCATATTTTGCTGTACATAATGATTGTATTTTTAAAAATCCAATCTTGTTCTGTTGCAAGAAAGTTTGTCTTTGAAATCCTAGTCTCTGTGATTGTAACTGTGCAGTATTCTCAACCTCATTTTCAATACAAGTGTGGTTCTTCTCAACATAATGCTCAGGCTTTATTGATGCTTATGGTTCTGGAGATGATGTTGAATTCTGTGGCTGTGAGATTCCTGATGGTTCTGCTTCTCTCAAAAGAATGTACAGCAAGTTTTTTGCAAAGGGCATTTTAAATAAAGGGCAGCTGGCTCTTTATGACTTCTTCACTTGGATACTCATTGCGTGCAGGTGTTGTTAAGTATCAGATTTCCTTGAAGAGTGACAAAATGCAGAAACCTCCATTTTCTTTAAGAATTTTGTATGAAAAGGAGTGGCATGTGTATTCTCTTGAATCTTCTCCCATTCAAACTAATGGACAACTCCCATGACTGTAAATGGAAAATGGCTGGAGCTCTACTGCTATTAGAAGCTCTCTTGCTCTTCAGGTTTGTATAGCAGGCAACCCAGACACTCTTCTTGATAGACCTTCGCTGTATCTTTGGGAACTATTGTTTAGAGTGCCCATTCATGTTCTGGTGAGATCTGAGACTTGCTGTAGAAGCAAGGATGTGTATGAGCTCTGTTCAAAGGTGAAATAGTTTTAAATAATGATCTTCATAGCTTATAGCCTGCTCCTACAGTGTTTATAGCCTCATGCAAAATGTGTATGTTAAAAAGATTCTCCTTCCTGTCACACTGTTACAACATGGTGCTCTAGAAGCTCATTTTTGTGGGAATCCAACAGCTACCCAACTTCTAAAACTTTTTATTTGGGGCTGATAACCTTTGGTAAACGTGTGCGTAGCAGATGAGAGTGATTCAATAGCAGATTTTTAGTTCAAACAGCTAAATATATTCAAGTGAGTTATAGTGACGAGAAATGGAGTGGAAGTGCGTTGCTGGGGCTGGGTGTGTTGGGTTTGAGGTTTTTTTTGGTTTTGTTTTTTAATTTTAGTAGACTAAGGGTTTGTTAGTCTGTAATCGAGAATCTCACTGTATTTCACAAGTGAGAGTCATTGAGTGTGTGTATGTGTGTATTCTGACTTCATTGGGGTTGGAATCAAAATTCTTGCCCTTACCACAGATGATCTCAACCTCTGTGATCTCAATTCTGTGTGTAGTCAGTATCACACTGAAGAAAACACTCAGTGAAACTTGAACTGGTTGACCGGTAATAGGCTAGAGCAGAGAGATTTACGTGCAGAAAGTTTAAGAACAGCCATTAAAATTTCCCTATGGCTATGTTAAATTTTTTGAAGGGTATGGCTGCTCTAATACGCATCAGGTGGTGCTTTAATACTGTAGATGCTAGAGCATAGTGATTCGGTAG